AACATAGAACCTGGAGAAAGTAATTCGAGCGGCAGAACTAAACAGAGAAGGTACCATCTTCTATAAGGGTGTACAGCTGTTGGCGTACGCGATGATATCCACATCATTGACTTCATAATCGCGCCGTTAGTTCTGCTTTCTCCAGACTGGATAAGGAAGCTTTGCAAATGGATCTGGTAATGAGCGAGGGTATCTCACTGCTAAAAGACATAACTTTGAAGTCGTAGATAATTTCGTCTATCTTGGGTAGGCAATTGAGAAGTAAAGTCCTCTCTCGACGAACGACGATCAATATCTACAAGTCACTCATCATCCCCGCCCTGCTATATGGTGCAGATGCATGGGCGATGACAACATGTGATGAGTCGACGTTACGAGCTTTCGAGAGAAAGGCCCTGCGGAAGATATATAGTCCTTTGCGCATGAGGAACTTCGATTACCGCAGTCGATGGAACGAAGAACTGTACCAGACGACATTGACATAGTTCAGCGGCTACGTTGCCTAGGACATGTCGTCCGCATGGATGAAATCATTTCAGCTCTGTGATGCAGTATCCGCTGAGAAAGCAGAGGAAGAAGAAGATCTCAACTGCGTTGGAACGACTGGCGCGTTGTTGGGAATTTGGCTATAACCGCGTAAGCGGTGTCTAGACCAATGAAGAAGAAGAAGAATTTATATATAACCGGGCTCTTTTGTCAAGCTGTAGAAACAAGGTTTGTTAGTCTTTTGGGTAAGCATGTCACGGTAAGATTCATATCATAATACTTGAATCTTTTACAAAACAACGTCGAGTAGATGTCACAATGGAGATGCTTAATCGTTACTGTTGGCAAGACGTGGGTTTGAATTGATATAGAAGCTGTGCAACAATCTAGCGCAAAGAATTTTAAAAATGAGCCGAATTAAAAAAATCAAAATTCGCTGAATGCAATGAAGGCTCTCCACTTAAAAAAAGTGTTTTAGTTTGCTTGTATTGGCTAGGAAGCTCTTTTGAAGGCTTTAATAAAGATTCATATTGTATGACATACAAGTATATCTGTAGCTTGACATCTAATACTAATTTGGTGCGGAGCCATCCGAATCGGCTTTAGTTAACTTTATAGTTAACCCGCCATGCAAGAAGATTGATCAAAGTGATGTCTGTGTGAATTCTGAAATATAATTGATTTTTTTTACGTATGAATGCATACTTATATAATGCATATATACCCAAATCTTTTACGTGCTACAACCCTCTGCTTTATATGTAAGTATGTATATATTCTTCGACTTTGCTACTCAAAATAAAACTTTTTAGTAATGATCGCAGACATTCTTTAATTTTTGTGCTACCATCTTATCGACTCTCCACTTCTGTTTTGGTTCCATTCACAGTGTATAAACTTTACATTATTTTCGCTGTCCATCGAACGGACGGGGTGCAACTTAAAGTTTATCAATGTCTCTGCCTAAAAGGGTAAGTGAAGTGAAAATAATTCACAAAAACTTTGTCTGCAGCTGAAAGCAGTCAAGAGCAAGGCTTCTTGGTCATTAGTATTTTTTTTTTTTTTTACTATTATCAGGGTTTTGCTCGAGCTATTAAACTTCGGAGAACTTGACAAACATACACTTACTTTTGGGATCATTATTAGTGGGTATATAAACGCTTTGGTAAACAATAATAAAGTTTGAAAGTGGGGTTAATGTGAACAAAATAATTTGGAGAAAAGGTAATTGGTCTTAATTGGGGCTATGAGCTATATTAAGAGCAAGCAGCTTATAAGATAAATTTCTTATAAATATAAAAGTCGCCACACAGATATGCTTGAGTCGAGTTTTGAGTTCACTTCTAACTGGAACATTCGTTAGATATAAAAATTAAATGTTAAAAATAAATGTTTGACAATTTGTCATGTCTTATTTCATTGTTATTGAACAAAATTAATTCAGTTGATGCTTTTGAAATTTCGATCCGAAAGTTTTTGTAAAAATTAATGCTTTCCAACTACGAGTTAGAAGCTTTCCCTTGAGCAAACATCACACGCACACGAAACATCTGAAATCCCAAAACGGCTCAGTAGATCGAAAGTAGACCGCTTTGACCATTTAATTCAGGCAGATGGGTTCCGTTGTACATAATGAATTGCATTTTTTCAGGTCCAGCGCCTCTACTCAATTGGTCATGCTTTAATGTCAATTGATGAAAGAGGCAAATATTGTAATATGAGAAAGTTATCTGCAAAATGATGTTAATATAAGTGGCGCTAAAGTCAAATTATTTACAAAAACTCGTCCCCATAAAGCCGATTTAATTTTCAATAAGAGTACCGCAAACAGGTCTCTTGGGGCATGCTTGATCGTTTCTAGAGAGCATTATAACCTATGAGACCTGTAGCCCATAAGACATTGTCTTATGAGTTTGACATGCAAACAAGGCAACAATCATCGGAATGGAACCCGATTTCAGTCAACCGAAGAGATAAAATAAAACTTGCTGATGGCCATCCCAAAAAGTGCTTATGAAAAGTGGTTCGAGTACTTGCAAAATTGTTGGCATAATTGTATTACATCTGGTGAGTATTACCCTGAAGGGCATAAAGTAAATATTGATGAATAACTAAATACTTTACAATACAAGAAAACCTTTGACCGGGATGGCCTACAACGCTTTCCCCGAATTTTTTTCATGGAACACAAAAAAAAAAAAAACCCGTGGAAAAAATTCATCGATTCGGTTTACGTGAGCTTTGTATATGGATCAGTCTGGATCAAATTTGATGAGATGGTGTTTTCAAAGGAAAGGCAAAAGCTTTTAGCACTCGGTGTTAATATGGTATTTTATTGTATATCTTAAGAACGCTTAAAGGCGTAGTCGTCTTATAGAAACATTTTGTAAAAGGCCACTTTGAAAAATGGAATTTTAGGTACAAAATTGCAATACATATGCAATTAGTAATGATGGATGAACCAGATATTAAGGAAAAGGATAAATTACAGCGCTACGAAAGATTATCAACATTTAGCCGGAAATAGCAGGGTTGCTATACAGAATATCCATTATAAATAAATATACCGTTCGAAATAAAAGACCAAATTTCACCCATTCTTTATAATTCAGATATATTTATTAAGATTGAATTGATTTATTTTCTTTTATGTTAATGTTTATTATGCCTATGGAGTATAATATAAATCGATTTATCTAATAAAAATTAAAAAACAATTTACAAACATAAATGAATTGATCTAGTTGAAACTGAATGCAAATGCATGTAGTACATGTATGTATGTATGCGTGTGTGTGTGTATGTGGATTCGTTAATAAACGTGTGCTTGCATATGTTGCTATGTGTGTATGTTCGCATGTATTTATAGCTGTTTATATGTATGTATGTGTTAACATGTCATATGTAAGAGGTGTAAACATTCCACTCACACTTATTACTTATGTTATAATTGTATATTTAAGTTATGAATTAAAAATTAGCTTTAATGCATCGATTTCTCATCATTCATATATGTATATATATATATACTTTTTTTTGCTTCATTTCAATTATTTATCAATTATATCAAAGACCAACAAAATTGTATATTATATATATATATGTATTTTTTTATTGTTTTCTTATTTTTTTTTGTTTTTGTTTTCTATATACATATATGTATACATACATACATAGCATGTTATATACTAACGCATGTGTATATGTATATGCATGTATGTATGTATATATATAAATAACATGTATTTTATACCGGCCTACTGTATCCGACACATCAACATTATTTCTTTTTGTTTTTGTTGCTTACTCTTTGCTTTGACAACTTTAGCATTATTGCTGCAATAGTTAAATGCTTTTGGTAGTATTTTTAATAAAAAAAAATATTATTATTTTCATATAAATAAATATGTTTTGTTTTTGTTGTTGTATTTTATTTTCTTTATTTTTTTGTTTTGTTTTTTTATTTCATAAAGGAAATGCGCTAATGGTTTGGGTTTGCTTTGGGTAAATGAGAGTTTTTAGTCTGTTGTATGCGCTATATAAGTATGTATGTATGTATTTGTAGCTAAAAGAAAATATCTAACACAAATGCGCGATATAATAATAATAATTTTTTTTTTATAAATTGTTTGCTTGTTTTTAATGTATTTTTTTGTTTTCTTAACCGTTTTCACTGCATTGCTGGTAATAAAAAGTCAAATAATGCATTCAATTAATTGTTTTTTATTACTGTATATTTTTTTTTGTTTTTGTAATTATTTCTTACTACTTTTTACCATAATATGTATGCAATTATTTTCGACATGTGTACCGTAGTTCCGCTACTTAAATAACATACTTTTTATTTTAC